AATTAAATAGGTTCATATATTTGATAAAGAAACTTCTCCAAGTCATGGTTTTTAAAGATAAAATTCCTAGAAAATTCATACAGTCTGAATCCAGTTATAAAGAAAAACACACTGATCACAAAAGTACAAGTTCTTTTGTCATTACTCATAGCACCATAAAAATTATAAATAGCTGTGGGCATTTATCAAAATGTACTTACCAAATTTTGAAGGCAGACGGATACACTATCCTGTAACACTGACTTTCTGAGAAGTAGAGTGCCAGAGCTGAAGGGAAAATGTTTTCATATAAATCACTGTCAATCCATTATAACCCTTTCTTGAAATTTTTTTCAAGGAGCTACATATAAAAGTTAAAGAAGACAGTATAATCCTAGGAGATAAAACCATACATATTTTGCATGAATGTTTACCAACTGCAAAATCTTCAGAATCTATCAATATTTTAGCAAAATATTGCAAAAATACTTGATATACAATGGGGAAAGCATGTTTAAATGTGAAGGACAAGGTAATTTCACTTGAAAATCACGAATCAGAATTTAAAGGAATGCCAATTTAACATCCACTATGGTATTTTGTTCAGAAATACCATTTCAGATTATGAAGCATTGTCACACATTAGGCTTTTAATACACAACAAGAATTTGACTTTACTGTTCATCTTGCTTATACTCTCCCTGCCTGAAGGCTCCAAAAAGCACCATAGAGTCCTGAATAAAAATGACAAACGCAAAATATTAAAACTCAAAAAGATGAGAAGTTTCTATAAAACTGACTATTTAGTCAGCTTCCCAGCTCAGTCCTGAATTGGGGAATAGGCTTCAGCAGGCTTAATAATGTCACTGCGATTCACGTTGCTTCCTTATAGAGGAGAAATTGCCATAAAACGCCTCTAGAAAGAAAATCAAACAGATGCTCAACTCCTGATTTTAAGAAGAGGCTTAATTTAAAAGTGTATTTAACACCTTTTTAGTTTCATTGGTAAAAGGCATACCTTTTAAAAATCTCTCTAACTTCATTATCACCTGCTGCTTTCTTGTTCCGCAGGAAAAGCTTAATGAGATATTCTTATGTAACAACAGAGGTTCTTGAGAGAAAATTAGAATGCTTGCTCCTGAAGGGATTTACAGATTAATTTGCCCAATCCCCTCATAATATAAGGGAGGAAATTAAAGAAGTATTTTCTAGAAATGGAAGGAATTGCTTTTTTTTCCCTTTCCTCTGTGGTAATTATGCAGGGAGTCTTGCCTGGCTTCTCCCAGTGTGGCTCATGCGTAGGTTTTGGTACCTATGACTCAGTCCTCAGTCAGAGGGCAGGTAAGCATCATCGAGAGATGGTTCGGGAGCTGGACAACATGCTGATCACATCCAAGGCACAGGGTGGCTCTCAAGCTCTTTTTGTTTTTGCTTTTCCTTTGCTAAGAGAAAAAGAAAACATAGGGTATTCAGGATTCACCTAAGATTAGTATCCTCTCCCAGTGTACAAACAGACTGTGGGCAGTTTACACAGAATCCAGGGACAACCCCCCCCCAACACACACACACACACACACACACACACACACACAGCCAGCTAGAGGGGAAAACATAAAAAGGGAAGACACTCAGGGTGGAGAGGAGGTACCTATTTCACAAACAACCTCAGTAATCTCTATTATACACTAAACTTTATCTGCTGTACTAGATCCTATGTGGTTATAAAACCACTTTTTCCCTTGGGGTCATTAAGCCTTTTGGGTTCATCACGTAATATTGAGGTTCTATGGTTATTAATATTTATGTCCAAAAATGGCATCTGAAAAACATATTGTAATTACAGCATTTTTTCAAATTATCTTGAGCAGCTCATCAGAGAGTAAAATAGGGCTGCACCATGTGCTGATCCCTGCACCTGCTGTTCTAATCAGTCATTATCCAGATCCATGGGAAATTGTCTTTGAGACAGAGCAATGGTGGTTGAAGCTGACATGGAAAAGGCAACCAAACATGCGAGGTAGGATACTCACAGAGCGACCGCAGGCCCGTCTGCTACGTACAGTAGAAGTGCAACTG